TGCTCCCCTCAGCAGTGTATTTCTGTCAATCAGCCTGTTCTGCTCCCCACTCTGTCTCTGGTGAATCCTCTCACCACTCACTTCTCACCTCTGTCCTACACTCCAGTTCTTGTATGCATAAATAAATAGATCTTTAAAAAAAAAAAAGGCATCCTCATTAGCGGTGAATTGCTCATCCATAAGTAGTATTCAAGCTGTATAGGTTGTAAGCTTGGCGAGGATTTGTACTAAAGTGTTCAGCTTTTAATGGGGCTTCGTCTAAATGATGTCTGGAATACATGTGAGTGTGTTAGTTAAGAATGTAAGTATTGCTTGTTATTTCATATCTTGGCTCTGCTTTCTGTATCATTTGATTAAAAGGACTTCCATATCCCATCAACCAGGACTTAGCTCCTCCTGATTATTTTCTGCATTTATCTTTCTTCTCCTTATGACTCTTTCTTTCTCAGAAACTTTATCTCTCATGGTCTCTGTCTTGCTAAATATTCTATTAGTGTCAAGGGAAAGAAGCAGCCTCACCTCCAATTCTTTTCTCCTTCAAGATCAGCAAGAGAGAAAAATGAGAGAAGCCACAGTAGCATTCATATGAATGCAGCTATTGCACGGAGGCAAGGGTCTTGGTGAATGTAGATTTCTATGGCAGTGCAAAGACATTTAGGCAGTCACAGGTATAGTGTTTCTCCTCAGCTCACTCCCACTTCAGATGAAACAATTGAGTAATTGCGATGGAACTCTATTATACAAGAACGAATGTGCAATTGCACAATCCCGTGGGCACTTAGCCTGGAGGGGTATGTGCATCTGCCAGGACTGGTGCAGGGAGAGGAATAAGACACGAGATTATTTAGTTAGTTTGGCTTCTTATCAGGAGAAGACTGGCATTCAACCTAGGTTTTCATCCCAACCTGACCACACCCTGAAATGTGCTCAGTCCTGCCTCCCTCTTCCTGCTAACCCTTACCACACCAACTTTGGTGTTAGGGGTTTTCTTCCCTGCCATCTTGCTCAGAGTTGTCACTCATCTAGGCTTAATATGACCTGTGAAGATTTTGTTTTTCTTTTCCATTAAGGAGAGTATCTTGTACATCCCTGATTGCTAAGGTTAAGGCGCTAATTTGCAGAGACGAGTTTAGAACAATTACACAGGGTCACAATTGATCCCTTTTCTGTGCACTGGGAAAATGATAGAATTGTGGCAAAATCTGCAAACACATATCAGCTAAACATAATTATAAGCAGAAGAAGAGCATCACAACCTCACTTGATTGTCATTCCCTTATAATGAGTGGCATCTTGGTCTCCCCACTCTAGGTAGAAGGTGATGTGTACCTAAGCTCAGTCCACCCAGAAGTGGTTACGTGTTCTCAGTGTTTGTGTGCATGTGTGTGTATGTGTGCACACCCGTTTTTTCACACAGCAGAGAAATGATTTCCCCCAGGCTGTGTGCCTCCTGTGGTTACTCATAATGTGTGTGGATTCACAGAACACAATGTACCATAGATGCTAATCCCAAGCCCATTAGGCCTGAATACTTTACCTAGTAATACCTGCCTCTTTCGATCAGTTTGCACATTTTTAGTAACAGGAGATTGGAACTGCAGGCACCACAGCAGATGCTGGGACCACTTAAAGAGAGATGACGTCTTGCCTAACAGCTTGACTCTAAAAATACTACCTTGACTGTAAGCCTGATAAGTGTTTTCAAGGCTTCCCCACCACCCCCCCGCATTCAAGGAAAAAGTCCTTAAACAGATATCTAAGTACATATTATTGAGGATTTTAAGTGACACAAGTAGCAAACTTAACCTTCACAGAGGAAAAACCTTATGAAGTTGGAAGTACCTAAAAATCATTGGCATCCTAAGATATTTGAGTGGACCAAGACTGCTTAATTAATAGTTAAAGCAAAGAGAAAAAACATTTATCTTCCATTATTGTATGCATTCCCCAGAACTTGGACATACACACACACACACACACACACACACATATATATATATATATATGAATGTATTTATAAATTTGTATTATGGTATTATGTAGGCTTGTGGTATGCTACAGAGCTTAAATGTGACCTTGAATAAATAATCAAACCTTTCAGATTTTAATTTGTCCATAAAAACTATTGAATATCATGGATTGACAATGACAGAAACCAGATATCATAAGGAAAAATAGAAATTCACTGGTAGGTGTTGGCAACCATCCAGGCCAGGTAGGTTCATTGTCCATTCTCACAGATGGAAAGAGAATTTTGGAGCCTTCGGTATCTTTTGACAGGTCTTTAATGCTGAATCAGGGGACAGACCAGCCGGCGGGGGGCAGCAACTGAGCCCCCTAGCCACAGAGAGACACCACCCTGAGTGCCCGAGCTGAGGAGACCCTTTTATCCCTCTCTGCTTCTCGACTCAGGTGTCTGCATTTCACCTTACATTGGAACAAGACAGTACTCACCAGTACTTCAGTACTTCAGTACTCACTGAAGGGTTAAAACATAATTTTTAAAAATATATTGGATGGTGCTAAATGAAAATGTCTTACTAAAAATACCTCCATTTAGAGCAAATACATTTTGAAAGGCTCCTGTGCTACCTGCAGTCACATTCCATCTTGTTATACAAGAACTCTATCTTAGTGCTATCAAGATATTCCCAGCCACTGAGGCATGAGTTCAATCCCCAGCCAGGAAGCTGACTGACCCACATGGCTCAGCAGACCTCTCCTGTCTCACCGCTGCTCCCCTCAGCAGTGTATTTCAGTAGATCCACCTGTTCTGCTCCCTGCTCTGTCTCTGGTGAATCCTCTCACCCCCTGCACCTCTGGCCTGTACCCCAGCTCTTATATGCATAAATAAAAATAAATCATTTTAAAAAAGAAAAAAAGGGAAAAAGTTATGTTTCAATTTACAATGAAGGAGAGTCTGATGAAAATAGGAAGAGGGAGAATCAAACCAAGAGCAGAAATGGAGAAAGAGGAGGGAAATAAAAAGACAAAGGAGTCAGCATGTCTGTGTTCCCTCTGGCGGTTCTGAGGAGAGGACCAGCTTCCTTGCCTTTCTCAGGTTCTAGAGACTAGCTGCGTTCCTCGACTCCTGGCCCCTTCACATCATTTTGCTTCTGTTGTCAAATCTACTTCTACCTTTGAGTTGCTTGTCTCCCTCTTATAGCAATCTTTGTGGTTACATTGGGCCCACCTGGATAATCCAGGATACCCTACTGTAGGGCTTGGAGGAACACAGTGCAGGTTTGCTGTGATCCCAGCAGACAGCGTAAGGGAGGAGAGTCCTGGAGCCCTCAGTGGCTTTTGCAGGCTTTTGTTGGGATTTACTGGGCAGGGATTCTGGGGGGCCAGGAGGCTGGCAGGCCTCCCAGCCCCCAGCAAGTCTTTACTCTTTCTGGGCTCTCCGGCTTTCTCTTGCGTTCTCTCTGCATCTCTGCTCTTCCGTTCGTTCTCTGCTTCTCTGTGGCTTCTTCTGACGTCCCTGAGACGCCACCTTAAAAGCCTAGTCTTAGCCCAGGTGAATCCCATCTACATAGCCCACGCCCTACTCCAGGTGCCCGCCATCAGGCATGCATTCTGGACCACAGGGTTCCATCATCTATCCTAATGGTGGGAGGGCAGAAAAGCCTGATACTTTTTACCTTACCCTGCACCTTCCTATGTAAAACCAGCGGATTAGCAACCCACCCATCTGCATCCTTAATTCCTTACTACCACGCAAACTAACATGTTCAAGGGTGCTGGGGATTAGGACATAGACATCCTTGGGGATTGATAATATTATGCAATTTACCACTTCTATTGCCAGTCATTGCACGTATTTAAATTCTATTTAGTTCTTTTTACTACTTGGATGCACTTTATCACTGGCAGCTGGAGATCTGTGTGTCTCCATTTTTCTATTTGGGGACACAAACAAATCCCTCCTGTCCAAAGTCCACTTCAGCCACACACTACAGGTATACCATCTGTTAATGCATGTCAGTTAAATGAAAAGTATCCAGTGACTGATGCCACTACCAATGTCAAAAAAAATTACCTCCATTTGGGGGGCAGTAGCTGTGGGTCAGCATCAACCTAGCAGTGACATGTCTAGAGGGACCACGCGTTATCGAATCATGCTTTTAATGTATTGTGATTCTCCTCCCAAGGTTAGTTAACACTCAATTAGGATCAAAGCTGAGCTCTGTTGACCTCGTCCATTTTCATTAGTGTTGGGAAGGGGAAAAATGTATGGAATTTATCATCTCAATGGAATACCTTTGCAAGTGTCTGGATTGATGTTATTTTGGTGTCGTTAATAGAGGCATTATTAATAATTATGCAGGAAGGGAGCCATCCTGGTGGTGTAGGAGTTAAGTCTCAGCACTATCACCACTAAGCTGAGTTCGATCCCTGGCCAGGGAGCTAATCCACAGGGCGCAGCAGACCTCTCCTGTCTCACTCGCTCCCCTCAGCAGTGTATTTCAGTAGATCTGCCTGTTCTTTTTCCCACTGTCTCTGGTAAGTCCTTTCATCCCCTGCACCTCTGACCTACACCCCAGTTGTTTTATGCATAAATAAATCTTAAAAAATAAGGGATGGGGCTGGAATAACAGGGCTATCGAGTCCCCCTGGATGTTGAGTCCAAATGAATATTAACAGCACGAGCACTGCGAGTGTGAAATTGAATGGTACCAATGAAGTTCAGAGCATTTTAGCAGAAGCTTCATGTACAGGTCACCTTAATTTTTACAATCTTATAAGGAAGGTAGGGTTAAGCTTAAGTTACTAAATTGCTGTGCTAGCGTTTATACTCAATTTTGTGAAACACTAAAACATATGCTTTTCTCCATCATTATGCCCTCCACGGAAAAAGTGGGAGCTGTTGAAAGGGAGTCGTCACCTGGTGTGGGTGGGTATGTTAAAAATGAAGTTACCTGCAAAGATATTCACCATCTTGATCAGAGGTGTGTGAAGAAGCAGGACCATAACGGACCCTCCACTCCTCTCTCCGGCAGGTGTGCCAGTTCGTGGTCTCGGTCAATGGGCTCAATGTACTGCACGTGGACTACCGGACCGTGAGCAATCTGATTCTGACCGGCCCACGGACAATTGTCATGGAGGTGATGGAGGAGCTGGAGTGCTGAGCAGGCGCACCCCGGCCCCCCGACCCCCTGAATGGCCGGGGCAGCACAGAGCAATGCAAGGTGAAGACCTCCTCCCACTGGCCGCCTGTGGACAGACAGACAAGTGTTTTCTCTGCACATCCACATCTGAGTCTGAGTTGATACACTGTTTGAAGGTGGAAGACCCGGGTAATGCATTTTTCAAAAAGAAAAAGAAAAACACGACTTATGTCAGTGTAGAAAAAAAATGGAGAAACAGAATTTTCTTGCAAGGTAGAATCGCCTTACTTGACTTCTCTTGGTAGTTCGCCTTGTTTTTTTTTTTTTTTTTTTTTTTTTTTTTTTCCAATCTTAGTGCACAGAAAATTGTTGAAAAACCTCTCTAGCTCAAACAGCCGCATGCTACAATCTCCTTAGGAGTCTACAGACTAGTTATCACAGACTTCGAGGTGGCTTCTCACCAAGATTAGCTGTTTATAAGAGACTACAGAGTTCACCAAGCTTCAAATTAAAGCAACATCCAAAATGTTATATGTTAAGGAAGATCTTACGAAGGTTTTAAAGCCTTCAACTGCTTAAAAGCCATCAAAAAAATTACTTTCTTAATTCCTGTCTTTCGTATCAACTTTTAAAATATTTTCAATGATGGTATTACTTAAAAAACAAAAACTTTCTGATGATGTGGGTAGGGTAGATAGGGAGAAAATATTTGAAATGGTTTGTTCTGTTTTCTCTTTCTGGGTCTACATTATTTGGTTTCATCAATCACCGGGAGCAGCTTTCCAGAATTAATCTGAGTTAAATGTCAAATCAGAGAAGGTTGTACATACACATGTAAATTCAAAGTCAAGCCTTCTGGCAAGATTTCACTTTGAAGTTGGCCCTTTTGAAGTGAAGTATTCTAGAACTTGGCCCATATGTGACAAAACTTGAAACTCTAAATTGCCTAATTGGCCTGAATTTTTACTAGCTGTCTAGTGTACCATGTTCTAATTACATGAAATGCTGCTTATTTGGTGGGAATTTTTCCCCCCGAATCACTCTCTTATGTTGTGACTTTTCAGCTCACTTGTCTATATGCATATATGCATTTTTGTTTGTTTGTTTTTTGGTCTAGTAAAGAATGCATTTGGGGATGTGGTTTGTAGAGAAAATTCCTCAAAGTGCCAAATCAGGGTATCAGAGAACGCAAAATCCCTTATAATTTAAATAATGCATTCTGACTTATATCATGTGTTAAAAGAACATATGAATGTTGTACCTCAGCCATTTTTGTGATAGGTTATCATGTTGGTACTGGTAGAATGGACATACCATGCTAAAGATGTGACGTATATGTTTGGGTGATCCAGCCTTTCTGATCTGTAGTTTTAGTCAGAGACTAGGATTCTGAAATAATCGAGACCGCCCAATGTTACATTTGAAAAGAGCATCGCCTCTGTATGTATGTGTGTTTATACTGTTTTCCAGGCTCTGTGCTATGACATTTAACATATAGGATATTGTTAATCCTCAACACAAGCCTGAGGGGTCAGTATTATCACCCTCATTTTTCAGATATGGAGATAAAATCTGAGCAAGTTTGCAAATGGCCTCTAAGTTCACACCCCTGCAAGAATTACTCCATGACAGAACCCGGATTCAAACACGGGTTTATGTCATGCTAAAGCCCATGTTACTCCACCTCTGCCCCTGCCCATTTAGGGACCTCCTGTGGAGGCTTTTGCTGTACCAGATGCTCTGCTAAAACTACATGTTACTTCTCCTTTATAACCTGTAGGGTCCTATGCTCATTGTGCCCATTTCCAAGTTAAAGACCCTGACTCCTGAAGAACTTGTACTCGAGGCCAAGCAAGTAGTAAGTGGGAAACCTCACCATTCAGCATTTTAAGTTATTTTTTGAAACATCTTTAAAAGATGAGTCTTAAATGCTTTCTGTCCCCAGGTATTCATTCATTGACAAAAGAAGAGAAGACACACTTCTGGGGAGTGTTATCTTCCCACATGCTCCTTGTACATTTTACTCACATCCTAATATCCCTTCTTGGGGACCCTGGCATAATACCCCTTTGGCAATCTGAGCACCAGAGAGCGCCTGTCTGTCTGTTCCACACAGCTCCATGCCTGTGAGAGTTCTTTGACCTAGAGAGTATGTTGATATCTTTGATCAAATGAATATTGAGGTGGAGGAAGGAAGGAAAGAAGAAAGGAAGGGAGAAAAGGAGAAAGGGAGTGGAAAGAGAAGTGATAGGGGGAGAGAGAGAGGAGAGGAAGGAAGAAGTGGAGGGATGAATTATTTGCTCCTTGGCTGCCATTACCCTCAGGCCCCTTGCCAGAGAATTCTACTTAAGGTCCAGAGCATGTGGCCTTAGCGACCCCTCCAGCCTACCTCTGACACTGTCAAACTATAACTGAAATGAGTGCTCCCTATAATCATCACACGTATACTTTAAGTATCTTACATTTTAATTATCAACTATACTTCAATAAAGCTGAGGGGGAAAAATGAAAGACCTTCTCCTGCTCCCCAAGGAGACCCATCTAGCTCCCCCAGCCTTTGCATTTGCAGTTTCTCCTCCCTGCAATATCCTTCTTTGCCGGAAATGCCCCCCACCCCCACCCCCAGAAATCTTTGCCAACTCCCTAGCTCTAGGATTGATGCCCCTTCTTTAAGTTCTCATGGATGGACCCTGATGCACCAGTTCTCTGGGGTCGGCCATAGCACCACAGACACTTGCTCTGAGACTGTGCTGTCCACACCCATCTCCATAACTGCATCTGCACAACAGACACTGTCGGTGCCCTGTGAACCACAGCAGCCCTTCACCTAGAAGTTCCTGACAGAGTAGTAGGGGTCCACTACCCCATTGCTCTTCCAGGAACCGCCCCCAAAATGTGCTATACCAACACTGGTTTTTTGCTGGGGATCCCAGGGGTGAACAGTCCGGGTAGAATTCTGCCTGGAGGATCCTCTTCACTCCACATATTTCTGTGGTCAATTAGCAGGTCAGCTGGGGGTTGACTTGGGATGATTTCAAACAGGGGTCCCCCAAGAGTGCTTGGAAGATTATTGCTGTAGCAATTTGTTGGCAAAATCACAAAACTAGCCCACAACCAAGAGGTGGGGAAACAAGACTCCTTTTTTATAGGAGGAGCTACAAAGAATGTGTGGCCATTTTTAATCTACGTACTCACTGTTTTTTGAATAAATGACCAAGAAATAGCCTGGTTATGAAAAGACTTCAGCTATCTAGATGCGAGTTACTGACCAACCTCTGGGTAGCAGCCTAGTGTGAAGTTGTGAATGAAGCCTTGTGCTTCTTGACAACTCCAAAGTCAAAATCTTAAAATAGAGGCTAACAGAGTACAGAGCTGTCTTCTTCCCCTCTGGATGGTGAGGACACTTCAGGTAACCCAAACTCTCCAGGGACCTGTTGTCGAGCAGAGCAGTGCATAGTGTTTTGTGTTTTTTTTTTTTTTTTGGGTGGGGGGTGCGGTAAAAATAGACTGTGGACTTTTGTGGACTCATTACATGCAGGTGATGGCCTGACCCTGTGAAGGTCAAGGGCAGATGATCTAATTGATTCAAGACTTGGGTGGTTAAGTCACATCACATACAAGAATAAGTATTTTGTGTAATATTTCAACAGTTGCTTCAACTATTAAAAATATTCTCTCTTAAATGTAGCACCAAGATGTAGTCTACATTAGCAATAAGCAATATTTCTAAGAGCTTTTATTTCATGTCTGTGTCTGTGTGTGTCTGTGTATTGTATGTGAGGTTTAACTCACTGAGAATCTCTGCAATGGCTTGCTTTGTTTTCACAGAGCATACTTTTGAATTTTTAGGTGTTTGTGTAAGTTTTAGTGATGGAAATGGGAGTAGGTTTTGTTTCTTCATTAGCATAGTATGTGATATCAGTGCAAATTTAAAAGCCATGTTTGCTAATTCTGCTGTAGAGGAAAAAATGCAATTGACTTTTGGGTTGGTATTATTATCTGATGTTTTGCTAGTAATCTCTATAAAATAATTGTATAAACTGATAAAGGGACTAGTTGAGAAATGGATAACTTGAAGATATCCATGTTTGAGTAGATTAGATGTGATCAACTTCACACTATCCTATAAAATTCATCGGAGTAGTAATTGATTTAAAAATCACTGTTTTCAATTCAAAATAGTTTCACATTTCCAAATACTTCTTTCTTTTGAATATATGTGAGAATAATCTGCTTTTAGGATCTGTTTTAACTAATGATATTAGTTATTCTCTCCTATTGAAGGTTGATCCTGTTTCATTTTGATTGTAAATGATCAAGTAAGTCTAGAACATTTCAGTTTTATTGACTGTTTAGTCTATTGATGCCATTGACCGTGGTTTTACTCATTTAAGATAGACTTTCTAGTGTAATGTTTTTCTTCAGTTCAATACCAAAAAGACAAATCTGCAGTGTGCCAAAATGAAGTTCATCAAAGTTAGCATATAGTATTGTCATCTGCACTAATATATGTGTTTAATATGTTTGTTTTTAAATTCTGTTGAAATTTATTTTCTCCCCTTCTTAAAAATTGTAGCCAGTGCTTAAAATTATCATGTGAAAATAGATCATAGAGCATGAAATAAATGTTAAAAATGTAAAACAATGACTTTAGGATTTCAGCTTTCCTAACTTTTAGAACAAATTAGCCATTTTTTGATCCTGAAAGGGTTGTATTGTGAAGATGATCTACCGACCTGAGAAAACACTCAAAACTCCTCTAATTCTCTAATGTAGCCCAAAGTGCCATTTGTAAAACTATGGATGTTTTCTCAACCTCTTTTGCTTGAAAACAAAAGTGCATTAAAAGTTTTTTCTTTATTGTGTTTGATTTGGGATCATTTTTCTGTACTCATTCCAGTATTGACGAGAGTTAGGAAATAGTCTACTTGCAAAATCCTGTGTGGTTGTTTACCACACTGGGAAAACTTTTCTTTTTAACTAATTAAGAAATCAATTACATATTTCAATATTTGCAGAGGGCAAGATAAAGCCTGGGCATTAGTGGTTATTCACACTATATTCAATATTAACCAAAAGAACTTGATGTTTTCTCTCATTTATTAACTCATTCCTTCAAGAAACCTCACTGACTTTCCACATGTAGCTGGAAACTACATGTAGTTTCTAGAAAATTAAAACTGGATAGGCACAACCCTGGCTGGATCCAGGTCAGCTTTCAAGGAAGTCACCTTTCAGCCTGCCTCCTAGAAGTCTTCCCTCCATAGAAAAGGGGGAATATGAAACCATCTTGTTGAAGCAGATGGTTTAACACCACAAACCACCATCCAATCCAAAAACCTGAAAACCGACAACTTATATTTAGTTGTATTCTTCCCAATCCTGTTCCCCACTTTCCCTTACCCAAGCTAATGACAATGGTGAATGTTACATTTACCATTCTCTTGTTCTTTTTGATCTTAATATTGATTGGGTTTTTTCAATGGATTTTATTAAAAGAGCAAGTTATACATACTCATGAAACTTACTTTTTTAATTTCATTATTGTATTAGTAAGATTTTCTAGATTTTTATGTATAGTTGTAATTTTTCACAACTTCATAAATTTCCAGAGCACAAATTGTCTTTTGTCTTGTCAGTGGGAAGTTGCCTTGTGACCATGGTTATTGTCTTCACAAATGGTGTTACTATGAACATTCTCATGCCATCTCCTGGGGTTGTGTGAAGGGGCATCACTGGGATCCACTGAGGGGAATTGCTGAGTCATGAGAAATGTGAGTGCTCATCTTATACGGTCATATCTAACACACTTCTGCAGTGGCTGAACTTTGCAATGTACATGCATCTGAAATATAAACATGAAATATGTTGATCACTATCTTCTTTAACATGAGGTATTTTGAGATCTTTTAATATCTGTCAAATAATTGTCTTTTTTTTTTTTTTTTTTGTGGGACCCCCCGCTGGTGGCCGGGGAACAAACTGGTGCTGCAGAGGCTGCAGGCAGCATCGCAGCCCAGGGCTCAACTGCTGCGCCACCAGGGGAGGCCCAAATAATTGTCTTTTTGACCAATGATATTGAGAGTCCTAATTTTCTGTTAAGTTCATAAAATTGAAAGCACAGAAAATAAAAGAAGCATTTGTGTTCCTAACTTAATATATTAATGTCTTCATAATGCCCCTAATGCCTTAGCTTACACCAACTCTGTGATCTTAGTGAGGGAAGGATTATTGGAAGTCAGTATAAAATATTCAAGAACATTCAAGAAATAATATATCAAGCACAAGTACGACAGGTCTTTGTCCTTATGAAGTTTACATATTCTTGAGGCACACAGACAGTAAAGTTATATAAATAAAATAGTTCACTTTAGATAGGGGTTAAATGCTAAGAGTAAACAAAACCAAATAGGATAATAGACCAGGATTTCATTGAGATGATCAGTGAAAACAGAATTGCCATGTTACTCAACTCCAGTGAGTCACCATTCACATTACACTCTATGTCTACAGCACCCCCTCTGGTATGCAATGCAACAGCCCGGAGCAAAAGCCTCTGTGAACCCGAGTTTTTGAAAATGCACATTGAAGTGCAAAATGGAATTGAGCCAACCTTGGTGAAATCTGGAGTACTGCAGGCTAAAGATACGGAAGTTCTAAATGCACCAAGGCAGAAAAGATTGACGATATGAACTCTGGAGACATACAGACACAGATTCAAATTCCAGCTCTAGCACTTTGAAACACATCCAGTTACTAATCATGCTCTAAGTGTCAGTTTCCTTATCTGTAAATTAAGGTTAACACTACTTACTACTCTGAGGGTTAAATGAGATAATGCAGGGCCTCCCCTGGTGGCGCAACGGTTGAGCGCTGGGCTGCAAGGCTGCCCGCAGCCTCTGCAGTGCTGGTTCAATCCCCGGCTGGCTGGCAAGTCCCACATGGTGCGCAGACCTCTCCTGCCGTGCCTGCTGCTCCCCTCAGAAGGCACGAAGAACAGCAGTGTTCTTCGTCATTCTGCCTATTCTGCTCTGTGCTCTGGCTCTGGTGAATTCTCTCACCCTCCCACGCTTCTGACTGTACCCAGTGCTTGTATATGCTTGTATAAATAAATAAACAAATAAACAAACAAACAAACAAATAAATAAATCAATCAAAGAGAAGTTTAATAATAACATTTATACCTCCTGTATACATGGGAGACACCCAGCCTAACTAACACACCCGTGAGGTTTTTAAACACCATCTTAGGGCCTCCCTGGTGGCACAAGGGGTTAGGACACAACCTATGAAGCTATCTGCAGCCCCTGAAGCACGAGTTCGATCCCCAGCCAGCGAGCTGAGCTACATGGCGCAGCAGACCTCTCCTGTCTCCAGTCAGTCTGCCTGTTCTGTTCCCCACTCTGACTCTGGTAAATGCTCTCACCCGCCACACCTCTGGCCTATACCCCAGATATAGGGGATATAAATAAAGATTTATAAATAAATCTTTAAAAAAAATAAACACCATCTTAAATGCTTAGCCAACAAAGGGGACTTGGTGGGTGGGAGGAGTTGTGAGAGGGGATTGATGCAAAGAAAGAGAAGGTCAGTTAAGGAGCTAACTGTAGACACAGTAAGGCACACTACACAAAGGAATGCGGGTTAATTTCTGCCTTCTCTATTGACAAGAAGAGGAGATTAGGTCTTCCCTATACATGCCCTTACAAAAGTTTATATGTAAATATCTTTTTTCAAAAGTCGCCTCCACTCAACCTTCAGAGACCCTCTCATGAAATTAATCCATTGCCAAAAAGACATATTTGGGGGTGGCAGATTTTTTTTTACAGTATATTGGAGACCTAGTCTTGATTATTAAGGAGGTTCCTTTTCTGAGCACACCTTGATTGAGACATCATTCTATTTGTCTTTTGTGGGCAATTTCCTAAGTCTACAGGTTTAAAGGTTTCATGCTGGAACTATGTAAACAAAACCACCACACTGAGCTTCTGTTAGCATAAGGTCTGAGGGCAGGGAGAGGAAGCAGAGGTTACTGCTGGCCGTGGGCATCTTATGAACACCCTGAGCAAATAAAGGAGTGCTATGAAAGGAACTTGGCCAATGCATGTTGTGTTCTTACATCCAGGAGTGGACAACTCTTCTCTTTGAATGTCATCCTGCCTATGTGACCTTCTCTCTTTGCCTACTGGGACTCCATGTCTTATTCTAAATGACTTTTGCTCCCTTGTAGTTAAATATTAAACTCATTTCTTCTAAAGTCTGAAATGCCTGGATCCACAAAAGCTGATTCATAATACAAACTTAGAGGGTAAGTAGTGACGCCTACTGAGATCCAGCCCAAGTGGACAGACGTAGGGTACATAGAACAGCGAGGAGCGGAAAGGAAGCGAGAAAAAGGACATTTTCTCTGTTAGCTCAACTTTAAAGCGTGTCTGTGAGTATAGCCAAACTAGAAGAAAGGCCCAGATTTTGAAAGATCTGGATGTTTCTGCCAGGGTAAAAGGTGTAGAAGTAGAATATTTTCCCTCAGTCTTGACCTGGGAAACCCACGGACCATGGGAACATCAAGGTTAGTTAATTATTAAGCAGGGAGGCTCTCAGGTCTGCTGTATAACAGAAAAAGAGAGAAACAAGTGTAGCAAGCTCTAAGCAGGAGTAGAGTCTGCCAACATCAGACCAGCCAGTCTGTTAGCTAAATCAGATGTGAGGACTGTTACTGGTGATTTCCTTGTTCGAAATGCACTGGGAGAAGGTAGTATAAAGCTTTTTTTAAAATCCATTTTTTTTTATTTCCCCAACCACCTACTTTGCATTCCTTCTTGTTTAGACAACAGGCTTCCTATCTTGCCAGAATTCCCATCTTATTACATAAATGGAAACAAATGTATAGAACTAGAAACTTTTTTTTTTTTAATTTGTAGAGACCTTTTAATTTGCTGGTTTACTCTGTCATTTTCCTGCTAGAGAAACAGTCTTAAGGAAAAAAATAGTAGCTAGTTAATTATAGTTACTCATTACACTCTCTATATATACGAGCTACTCCAATAAGTATTATCTAATAGATGATCTCATTTAATCCTCGAAGACAAAACCCCATGAAGTAGGTTCTAATAAAATCCTCATTTTATAGGCAATGAACCCAGTTGTCTAGGAAGGTAAACCTGGGAACATGAGGTCACACAGTGGCCAGATGGTGAGGCTGGGCTTGGAACTCAGTCACTGACTTCTGGTCTCTGCCTTCCGTGACTATCCACTTTGCCCAAGAGCACAAAGTCACATATGCACACAGTGGCAGAGAATCATCTAGAGCCAGAACTTGCTCCTTGAGAACACCCCATTTTTTTTATGCTATGGAAGACCATACCACCCCTTTCTAATATTCTGGGGTTCCTTCCTCTTCCCCACTGGCTGCCATGACGAGCTTGCTCCCCTCAGACATACATCAGGGATCCCCCAGTGCTTTCCTCTTTGTTCTCAACATCTCTGCCTATCATTTTCTTCATTCTGAAGATATCCTTGCTCCAAAATTAGAGATGTGGCGACTATTTCTCCAGCTTCTTTCTTAGATGTTCTTCTGGAAGCAAGCACCCAAATGCTTTTGTTTTCATGCATTTGTTTTATTTCATTCATTCAGTAATAATAGATGTGTCCTATTGCTTTGTTAGCCACTAATCCTGACAGGTGGGTGATCACAAAGTAACTAATAAAATAAGCAGCACACAGTAACCTCTTAGTTAATGTAAATAGAAGCCTTCCGGATGACTTCCTCTTATTTCCTGTTTCCTTTCTTAGATGACGTGTGAGAAAAACACTCCACCCACCTTTTCATTCATTCCTGGAAGCAGGCTGTGAATCTTCAGGTTTTCCAGCTTTTCTAGTAAGGTCAGCCTGACATCTGCTGGTGCATAGGAGACCTTCAGTCTGCGCTTAGAGCTTAGAGGAAAAGAAAGGAAATAGCTAATAGCAAGACCTAGGAGACGCAAAGGGACCTCCTACTTTTAGAAGGACAGTTATCAGAATCAAGGTAAATCCTCAGAATTCCAGCACCTAGAAAGAGTGACAACAGTGATAGTTATTGAGTGCCTATTATACACTATACACGTTAAGTGGTTTTCAAACATTACTAAGTGCTTTTATTAATTTAATGTACATTGGCCCAAACAACCACTTTAAATACAAAGTAACCACTTTTTAATGATCTCATATGGTTTCACTAATTGAATTTTAATTTTTGATCTTCCTCCCCTACAGTCTCTTCACACAGAACAAGTAAATTACAGTGCAAGAGGTCTGTGATACACATGCATGCATGCAAGTACACACACACACACACACACACACACACAAATTTGAAGGAAAGGAAACTGTCATTTTAATGCAAACTATGCGTGCTATTGCTATCTTTTAAGTCCTGACAAAACCTTTATCCTTGGATTTGTTGTGGTTTTCTTTTTTTTTTTTCAAGATTTATTTATTTATGCATACAAGAACTGGGGTG